CTTGGCTCTTTTATGACTCGTGGACTTCAACTCCCAGAATTCTTGAGCCAGCCAGGCTGAGGGGAAAGGGAGGGGTTTCCAAGCTGAGCCATGCTGGCTCAGGAATTCTGGGAGTTGAAGTCCACCAGTCATAAAAGGAGCCACAGTTCCCCCATGCTGGCTCAGGAATTCTGGGAGTTGAAGTCCACGAGTCATAAAAGAGCCAGGGTTGCCGATCCCTGGTTTAGTCTAACTCAGGGGTAGTCAACCTTGGCTCTTTTATGACTCGTGGACTTCCCCCATGCTGGCTCAGGAATTCTGGGAGTTGAAGTCCAGGAGTCATAAAAGGGCCACAGTTCCCCCACTCTGGCTGAGGAATTCTGGGAGTTGAAGTCCACGAGTCATGAAGGGGCCACAGTTCCCCCATGCTGGCTCAGGAATTCTGGGAGTTGAAGTCCACCAGTCATAAAAGAGCCAAGGTTGACTACCCCTGGTCCAACTGTTGCTTTCTTGCTTTTTGTAATCAGCTTTTGCACCATGCAAGCGTGGGAATGTCCTGAAGGAGGGAACAAGGGGGTGTACAGGAATGATGGATGTAATGGCTCTCCTATGATGTAATGGCTCTGTTATCTGATGTTCATTGCCTAACAAAAAGTTTACAAAGCCATGCCACCAACGTTCTCAGGAAGTTTGATCACATAAAGTGCTGCTTGCTCAAGAAGTCTCCGCTTGGCTTATCTCATTAGCATTGATATGGTATCTCAAGTTCACGTAAGGGACTAGCACCTTGCAGTCTAAAAATAAATACGCACATACTGAACCACGATCAGGCTTGGAAGGGGGAGGGGCTGGGACAGGCTCTCCCGGGGGTGGGGGAGGGGCGCGGGGGCCTTTCCATGGCTGGGGGTGGAGGGACCCCCCCTCATGCACCCCAAAGAAGAACAGGGGGGTCTCTATTTCACTTGGGGGGGGGCTCAGGGCGCCTCCTCGCCATCCAGACAGCTGGACTACAACTCCCATCACTTTCGGGGGCCCGGGATGATGGGAGGGGGAGTCAGGGCTTGGGGCGCGCCCGGTTGCCCCCCCCCGCCAGGACTCACCTGGGGAGCACACCTACAAGCCGGAAGTGCCGGGCAGGCTATGGAGACCGGGCCCGCGCTCCTAGAGCGTCGACTAGCGGGAGGTGAAATCAGCCTCACGTGCTTCCGTTCTCCACCGGAAGTGAGAGCCGGCCATCGTGGGAGGGGCCTACCCGGAAGGACGCGCGTGTCGTTCTCCACCTCCACCCCGGGGCCCGTTCTTTGCACCCACTCAGGCGTGGCGTCCTCCCGTGAATGAACACCTGCGCCTCGGAGCCCGGGGACTCCCACCTGCCTTCGGATCTGGCACCGCGTCAGACGGCCCCGCCTTGCCTGGGAGCGCCGCTCTATGTATTGCGCCTCTATGGCAAAAGCAATCTGGCGGAGGGGATAGAGTTACGAAAGTGAAGAGTGACGCTCTAGTCCCGTGAGGGTGGAACTTCTGGGCTCTTTCGGGGCTGCCCCGTCCAACTACTTAGAATTACTCCAGGTCCCATAATTCCCTGACAGCGCGTCCTTCGGTCTCCACCCGTCGCCTGAGTTACGCACAGACCCTAAGGCGCTTTTCAACCTTGGCAACTTTGAGAAAGGAATAATACGTTGGCTTCCCAGAATCCCCCAGCCGGCAAGGATTCTGGGAGGTGAAGTCCGCCCGCTTGGAAGTTGCCAAGCCTGAAAAGCTGCATTTCAAGTTTGCCTAGGCCAGTGTTTCCCAACCTTGACAATTTTAAGGCATGTGGACTTCATCTCCCAGAATTCCACAGCCAGCAATGCTGGCTGTGGAATTCTGGGAGTTGAAGTCCACATGCCTTAAAATTGTCAAGGTTGGGAAACACTGGCCTAGGCCAGGGGTAGGCAACCTGGGCTCTTTTAGGACTCGTGGACTTCAACTCCCAGAATTCCTGAGCCAGCACAGCTGGCTCAGGAATTCTGGGAGTTGAAGTCCACGAGTCCTAAAAGAGCCCAGGTTGCCCACCCCTGGCCTACGACTGCCCAGCAGGTGCTCCCGTCCCTGCCGGTGCGGGCGCGCTGCTCAACGGGGGCCGCACGGCGGGGACCGGCAGCCGAGCCTCCCCCGCGCTCTCTGGGATTGTCCCACCGCTGAGCCGCGCAAGTGTCCCCCCCGGGGAGGGAAGGGATCCCCGGGTCATTGGTGGGTGGGGGAGAGACGGGGCGCCTCCAGAAACCCCAGCAGGCTCAGCCCAGGTGGGGCTGGAGGTGGGGGACGGGAGCCCGCCTCCCGGCTTCCCTCCAGAGCAGCCAGTCCGGGAAGATCCGGACGCTTCTCCCGATCCGTTTTCCTCGCCCGGCCTTGGCTGCGCATGAACTGTCGTGGGGAAAGGCGCACAGCCCGAAGACAGACACGCTCCGTTCCTGCAAGTTTCGCTTTTATTGCCCGGCTTCTTCTGCGGAGCAGCTGCTCCCCCTCGCCCCCCCCGTTAGTGCCCCTTTCCAACCCCGCGCCCCCTTTTCCCACCCCACCCCCCGCTTGAGAGGCAGCTTCATCCGGGGTCGGTTAGTGGTTAGTAGAAGCATCTTCTACAGGAGAGAAGTACAAACCCTCTTTTTGTTAAGTGCGCGTCGTTTCTAATCCGCTGCTACGCTAACGGCGTTGGTGGAGACCCCCCTTCCCGGGAGCTTTAATCCTGGCTTCACCACTGGGGAGAATTGGGGTGCAGAGAGGCCCCCCCCCAGCAGCCTGCTCTGCTCCAGCTGAAGGAGGAGCGGCTGTTGAAAAGGAGGAAGCCTACGCTGGAAGGAGCAACTCCGGATGGCCACAGTCACTCAAGGATGAAGGCCTCTGGAAGGGTTTGTTTCCAACCGTTTGGGGGGCACAAAACCGGATGTGGGAGCCAGACAGAGCTGTCCTGGATTCAAAACACCCCCCCTCCCCAGAAACAACCCATTCCGAACTCAAACTGGAAGCTTCGCAGAATGTTTCCTGATCCGAACGGTGTTCGCAATGACACCAAATGCACTTCTTGGTACGCTGCACTGCAAATCCCATCATTCTTGTCAACACGGTTACCTATCCTCGAGTGGGCCGTGATGATGGGAGTTGTAATTCCACACACAAGGAGGGGGGGGGACAGGCTTGGTCAAGCTGGCGCAGAGTCCCAGCTGAGGAGGAGGAGGAGGAGGAGGAGGGTCACCTTGAAGTCCAACAAGGCCTGACCCAGATGTTTTGTTTGCCAAATATCCTCTGCCTTCTGCACCAGGAAATGGACGAGGAAAGTGTTTCCGGGTCTGGAAATCTGGGGGAGAGCTCGCAAGAAGCCCTGGTGCCTCCAGGGGAACAGGAAGATCTCCCAGCTGGGACCCTCAGTCCCACCGAGATGGTCCCACGAAAGCTGTCCCCAAATAGTGGAAGACATTTGTGTCCTGCAGGGCGCAGTCCCTGGTCCTCCTCCCTCCTGCTTCAGCAGCCCTTCTCCGCTGCCCCAGATGTACCCTTCTCCCCCCACGTCTTCAGCCAAGCCATGCTCAGCACGGCCTCCTCGATTCTTCCCCCCTCCAGAGACAAAGGCACGTTTTGTTCGTTGAGGACAAGGCGTTGGGGCCGCTGCTGGCCACGGATGCAAGGCCTGCTGCCAGCCACTTACAGTTCGGTGCAGGTGACGGGGGTCAGCCCGTGGATCAGCAGGGTGGGCCCCAGGCCGGTGGTGAGGATCTCCAGCTGCTCCAGGTAGCGCTCGTACTGAGAGATGTCCGCAGGGGGCCGCGGCAGGTAGAGGAAGCGCACGGCCGTCTGACCGGCTTGCTTCAGCAGAAGCTCGTTGACCGAAGCCAAGTACTCGTCCGTCACTCGGAACGTGGCTGCGTTCAGGATCGTTTCCTCCAAGAGCTTCTCTGGGTGGAGAGGGCCGGGAGGGCCTTGAACCTCAGCAGGGCTTGTCCTCCCGGTCCCCACAGGCTGGGGGTGGCTCTGGAAGGCGACCACCTGGTCCCAGGTCACGATCTTGATGGTGGCCTTAATCCGCAACTTGGTCAGCAGCTCCCGCAGCTTCTCCTCCTTGCTCACCCAGCCCAGGTCGCCCGACTCTACGCAGAGGAAGATGCGCAGCCGGGCGCCTTTCCAGGAGCTGACCATGGTGAGGATGCAGGCCATCTGGAGCAGGAAGAGGCTGCAGATGTCCACGTAGGTGGGCGAGTTGGGGCGGAGGAGGTTGAGGGGCCAGACGTCGATGTAGCGGCCCTCCAGGCGCTTCTTGGAAGCCGAGGAGGAGAGCAGGTCCTTGTCCAGGAGGTGGAAGTAACGGGCCAGGCAGACGTTCTTGTGCATCTTCACCGCGTCCGAGATGATGGCCACGTACTCGGAGGGCCTCAGAGCCCGCTGGTTGGCCGTGACCCGCACGGAAGGGAAGTGGGCTTGCAGGGCTGCCAGGTCCACCCCAAACTCGTCGTTCTCCCGGGCTTGGCTGAAAGCCGGGTCCTGCAGGAAGTAATCTTCGGGGACGCAGTCGTCATAGAAACCCAGGACCAGCGTATTGGGCTTCATCCCGCCTGCAGACAAGGAAGCGCACAAACCACGTCAATGCAGGCGGTCTGACCAGGCTCAGCAAGGGGGAGGACAGCTGGCCTCCCCCAGGCAGATCAAGACCCAGCACACCGACCGTGGTTTATAATCCAGAGTCCCGTGGGGAAACAACCCCCCCCTGAATATTTTGTTCTATGGAATGAGGGCAACCTGACTAAGTGGGATAAAAGGCTCCCACCACGTCAACAGAGGGGTCTTCCCGGTGTGCCGAGCAACTCTTTGGGGTTTTCCCTCCGTCCCCTTCTGGAGGTCCTCAGAGTGGCTACCAAAGAAGGGTGGGGGTCCAGGAAGCCTTCCTGTGGCAGAGTTTGGCCTGGTGGTGAAGGTGCTGGCTTAAAAACTAGGAGATGGTGAGTTCTAGTCCAGCCTTGGGAACAAAAGCTAGTAAATCACCAGGAGACTGGGAATTCTAGTGCCGCCTTAAGCGTGAAAGCCTTAAGGTGCTGGCTTAAAAAACTAGGAGATGGTGAGTTCTAGTCCTGCCTTAGGCCGGGTGACTTTAAGTCAATAACCAGGAGATTGTGAGTTGTAGTCCAGCCTTAGGCACAAAAGCTAGCTGGGTGACCAGGCAAATCACCAGGAGACTGGGAATTCTAGTGCCGCCTTACACATTAAAGCCTTAAGGTGCTGGCTTACAAACTAGGAGACGGTGAGTTCTAGCCCAGCCTTAGGCACAAAAGATGTCTGGATAACTTTGGGCCATCTTGAGCGGTTCTTAAAAATAATAAAGGCAGGACATAAACAACTAAATAAATAGATTTGTTTGGTCTGATTTCCCAAAAGATCCGGCTGATCTGTTGACGGGAGCGGGCAGGGCCACCCTGAGGGCCACAGGGTGGGACCTCAAGGGGCCCCTGGCTTGGTTTAGGATTTTTTTTCTCGACACGCCCTCCATCCTTAGGGCCTCCAAGGGGCAAACGAGGTCAGCCTCAACTCAACGGAGTTTACTCCAGGGACGTCCCAAACATAGCAAAATCAAAGAAGCGTCAGACTCCTTAATGCCGAATACCGACCCAGATGCCCTCCTTGGGGGGGGGAGTCTCTCCTCTCCTGGCACCACAAACCCTGAATCCCCCCCTGCAGCCCCCCACCCCCGGGCTCCTCACCCAGGCCAGTGATGCGGAGGAGGTGCTGCGTCCCCTGGCGGACGGAGGGGGACAAGGTCAGATCCACGAAGGCCTTGATGCTCAGCTTGTCCACCAGGCTGAGCCAGAAGTTGTAGTGAGCCTGGATGGGGTCCGAGGGCATCGTGTCTGCGGGAGAGGCAGCAAAGATGGCAAGACCCCCCCTGGCAGGGCAGGGGCCAAGAAATACGCCCCCCCCCAAACTGTGCCATGTCTCTCTGAGCCCTGCCCCACAGACCCAGGCCACGTGGCGTCCCACGCAAGAGGAGCACCCAGGAGTCTGCAGGGCCCCCTCCCTGTGCCCCGATCCCTGCCCCTACCCAGGTCCCCGATCTCCACGTGGCCCAGGACGAAGAGGCCGCCTTTCTTTAGATGGTTGATGAAGCGCATCAGCTGGGATCCACCCCGGGGGTTGGCCACCATCAGCAGGATCTGCGGCCGCCAGAATTTGACGTGGTCCTTCCGGATGTCGAGCAGCAACAGGTACTTCCGGACCTTTCAGGGGGGGAGGAGGAGGATCAAGAGGGGAAGAGACACTCCACCCCGTTAGCCACACCGGAGACCTTTTCCCCTCGTCTCCCTGCTGTCTTCTTCTCTACAGGGTCCTCGACTTACGACCACAATTGAGTCCAAAACTTTCGTTGCTAAGCGAGACGTTTGCTAAGTGGGTTTTGCCCCATTTTATGTTGTTAAGTGAATCACTGCAGTAATTAAGTTAGTAACACGGTTGTTAAATGAATCTGGCTTTCCCCACTTGTCAGAAGGTCGCAAAAGGGGATCACGCGACCCTTCTGGGGCACTGAGGCCGTCATAAATACGAGTCGGTGGCCGAGCGTCTGAATTTTGATCACGGGGACGCTACAACGGTCGTATGAAAAACATCCACGAGTCGCTTTTGTATCTTTGAACGGTCACTAAATGGAGGGCTGTAATTCGGGGACTGCCTCTACGTGGCCAGCTGAGCAGATCCCGGCTTGTGCATTGCAGGCACTCCTCCACTTACGGGGCCCTTCATTTAGTGACGGTTGACAACTGCACCGAAAAAAAATGAGCCGCGGCGATTCGCAGCGCCCCCTGGGGGACGACATCAGGATCCGAATTTGGGGCCCTGGCAGGCGGCACGGACTGACAGCAGTTGGCAGCTTCCTGGGATCAGAGGGCCTACCTTTGTGACTTTCCCCCGGGGGAGGCAAGATTCGATTTATGACCCTCTCTGATTCACTTAACAACCGTGCGGGGAAAAGTCCGCAGAACCCGGCGCGACTGACTCAAGCGCCTCGCTGAGCCACAGAGGCTCCGGTCCCAACGGTTGTAAGTTGAGGACAACCCATGCTTGCCTCAAAGACCCCCCACCACGCCCCCTTCCCCAGCCTGCCTGGATCTGCCCAGCCCCTTCCCCCGAGCGGAGCCCTGGTCCTGCTCAGCTGGCACAAAGACCGGTCAGCTTCTTCCACCCAGACAGCAACCGCTCCCGACACGGGACCCCTAAGACCCTCTGCCTCTTACGGCCCTTTGGGAGAGGTTGACCCTGCCCCTCCCCCCCCAGGGCCTCCCCCACGCTCTGCGCCGCACCTGGTGGAAGATGAGCGCCTGGCTGATGTAGCCCCAGGAGGAGGCGGCCGAGCGCAGGTGGATGAAGCCCAACAGGAGTAGCATCAGCCCCAGACTGCCCGAGGCCCCCGCCGGACTGATCAGGAACATCATCACCAAGCAGGAGGCGATGCCAAGCAGGCAGGTGTGCCAGGAGAACAGCTGGAAGGTGGGGCTGTAGGGGGGGGAGAGAGAAAGAGAGAGAGAGAGTTGGATGGCACGGTCCCTCCCTCCCCATCCCTTCTGGGTCCCCAGGGCACAGCTGGACCCCACAGACACCCCTCCACACCCCGGCGTGCCCTTCCCCTCCCTCTGGGGAAGCTGCACCCACCGGAAGTTGGGCGCCGAGGCCCACTCCAGCGCCAGGCAGGCCAGGTCCACGGCGGCGTAGGCGACCAGGTAGAAGACGGTCACGATGCCAGCAATGGTGTTGAGTTTCCCGACCAGGAGCACCAGCTGGGGAAGGCAGGAGGTCCTTATAGGGGGGAGAGCCCGGAGAAGCCCCCCCCAGCCCCCAGCAGGTGGGTGCCCATCTTCCATCCGTGACCACGGGCTCTCCGGCGCCCCCTGGCCCTGATCGCGTGCTGAAGGCCTGGAGGGGGCAAGGAACAGGCCCCGTATGGACCGGGATTCTCCAATCGTGGCCGCTTGAAGACTGGTGGACTTCAACTCCCAGAATTCCCCCACCGGTCAAGATCACTTATACTGGCTGGCTGGGGAATTCTGGGAATTGAAGTCCACCAGTCTTCAAGCGGTCACGGTTGGAGACCCCCAGCTGTGGATGGACCCCAGAGATGCCTCCCTCCATCTGCTGTTCTTGGTCCTGAGGGCCTGGAGGGGGGGAGAGGCGTTACCTGTGCGAGGCCCCAGGTGTAGAGGACGGCCACCCAGGGGTTGCCCCCTCTGGAGACAATCTTGGCCGGAGCCAGGACAGGCCCTGCAGGGAGAGAGAGAAGCAGCCGCTGGACCTCCCTGGCCAGGCACGGGAGGGCAGGGATGGAGGGGGGGCTCCACAGGTGGGGGGCTTCGCTCACCAAAGAGGTCATCCTTGGCCAGGGCGTGGAGGATGCGGGAAGCGCCAATCAGGTTACTCATGGAAGCCGAGAGGGAGGCGGAGTAGATGCCCATCAGCACGAAGGGAGGCCAGACGTTGATGGACCGGAAGAAGCCGTAGTCCCCCTTCAGGAGGGCCCTGGGGGAGGCCAAGGGGGGGGCGTCAGTCTCCCCCATTGCCAGCACGCCTCCACCTGACCAGCCCCACCTGGAGGCATGGCCCCCACCTCTTCATGCCCTCAGTCTGCCCCCCCCTCACGCCAGCCTTGAGTCCAGGAAGTCACCAGCGGAGGGAGGGGGGCGGGAGTCCGGCGACCTGCTATGGGGGTCCCTCTCTGGGTCCCCCGCAGCCCCTCACCTCTCGCAGCTGAAACTGGTCATAAAAAACAGGAAAAAGTAGATGACGAAGGTGTACAGCACGGCCACAATCGTCCCCTTGGGGATGGAGGCACTGGCGTTCTTCAGCTCCCCTGCAAGGATCAACGGGGTTAACCATCCCACCTCCCCACGGGAGCTCTCCTAGTACCCCCAAGACCCTCCCCAGGGCCCCCTAGGCCTCACCTGACATGTTGGAGCCAGCCATGATGCCGGTGCAGCCGTTGAACATCACGGCAAAGACGGTGGCGAAAGACATCATGTTATTGGTAGTGTAGTCCTGTGAGTACATGGCTGGGGGGTGGGAGGGGGGGGAAAAGATCCAGGTCATCCCAGGAGGGGGGGGGCACGGCTGCCTCCAGCCCACCGCTGCATATAGTCCTCCGTTCTCCTCCCTGCCCACCTCCCCGTGGCTTCTTGGTCAAAGGTCAGGCTGGATGGTCACCGGGCACCCCCTGCCCAGCTGCCGGAGATCCCCCCCGCCCACCCCCAGGCAACGCCAGGGCCGGACGCCAGCGCTTGGCCCCCCTCCTGGCCGAGGGCCCCTACCATACAGGTTGTCCCTGAGGGTGGAGATGTTGAATCCCGTGAAGGAGGCGTTGAAGGTCTGGTTGCCACCGTGGGAGACGACGATCTCCCGAGGGGAGACGGTGAAGAAGCTGACGAAGATGGTGACCAGGACCAGGTTGACCAGCAGGAAGATGAAGAAGGCCGCCCGGGAGTAGATCTGGGCGCCCACCAGGCACACCAGCAGACAGAGCAGCAGCACCAGCGAGCTGTAGAGGAAGCTGTACAGGTAGCCCTGAGGGAGCGTCTTGGTGCCCGGCGGGTCAGATCCATCTAGGCCAGGAGGAGGAAGAGGGAGGGGGCGACTCAGGGGGGCGATTCACACCTGTTCTGGATCATAGATCCATTTATCTTGTATAACTCTATGTATTCCTATGTAACAGGTGAAGGGGAGGGGTTAGGGTCAGGGGCGGAGCTTCAAAAGGCATCCCTGGACACTAGCCTGGGGTTAGGGCATTGTTCTTTGGCCATCACATGCACCCACACGGCTGCAGACTCCTCAATCACCCCACCATGTGACGCTTGGGAGAAGAGGGGAAAATCTAATGTCAATTTATCTGTGGGACAACCAGATTGCTGAAACCTATTTTGGATGCACCTCTACAAACTGTAAGTCTTTGTTTAGGATTCCCAGAATAAAGCAATATTTCTGTTTGTTCTTCTGAGTTATCTATCTGTTCCAGACTGAAAGAGCAAGTTTCATGTCCAGAACAGTATAGTAAATTGACATTAGATTTTCCCCTCTTCTCCCATCCAGAACAGTATAACACCAGTGTCCGGAGCAGGACAGGCTCGGCAAGCTGCCCTCGCTCTCCACCCCAGCCCCGGGGGGGGGGGGAGTCCGACTTCTCCCGGAGAGGCTTGAGGCCTCACCTGCGCCGAAGACGTCCAGGATGGCTTCCACCAGGCCCAGGACGTAGACGCCGCAGGCACAGACGTTGGCCAGGTAGAACATGAGGCCGATGCTCCCCCCGAACTCGGGCCCCAGAGTCCGGCTGATCATGACTGGGGAGTGGGGGGGGGGAGTTAAGGCAAAGTGTCCATAAAAACAGAAGGAACACCCACCCACACGCCACCCTTGAGAGGGAGCCCAATGGCCGCCCCACAGAGGCAGAGCTGGCGATGCCCGATGGCGGGGGGTCTCTCCCTCATGCCGGACTTTTGGGGGGGCTTGGCTGGTGAGTCCTCACCACCTGGGCGGTCCCTGCTGCCCCCCTCCCGGCCTGCAGCTTGTAGGGGCTTTGAGAGGCGCTGTCAATCCCTGGGTGACATGCTAAACCCTGCATCGGAGGTGGATGGGGTGGGTGGGCACAGTCGTGACTCGTCCCCTTCCTTCCAAAGGAGCAGGAAGCCCATGTGCCACAGCCTCTGCGGGGTCTGGGGAGGGCAGGGCGCACGCCCAGGCTGGCCTTTGGAGGTGCCAGCATTGGGGTGACCTGGAGGAGCTGAGCAGGGCTACCCCCTGGCTGGGACTCGGAGGGGAGATGCAGGCAGGGCAGGGCTGTCCCCGTCTGGAGCCTTCCAGGACCCCAATCTCTGCCCCTTCCAGGGGGGGTGATGGAAGAGACCCCAGCCCCAAAGGATACAGTAGGCGCCCCCAGCCTGGACGGCCCCGTTGGTGGAGATGGCGCAGACCGAGAGGACCGTCAAGGAGATGATCAGATAGGCGACCACCAGCATCAGGAGCGACTGCAGGAACCCGGCGTGGCCCACCACGAACCCTGGGGAGGGGGCGAGGGGGGGAGGGGTGAGCGCTGGGTGACCTGGCTGCCCCCCCGGCCTCCCTCCCTCCCTCCCCCCCCNGGGGGCTCCGCAGGGGCCGCTGGTGAGGATGGAGCGGGGCGAGCAGCGCGGAGGAGGCGGCTGCGGCGCAGTTGTTTGTGCCGCCCGGGGGGGGGCTGGGCTGGGCGGGGCGGGGGCGACGGCCGAGCAGCTGAGCGCCCCAACGGGGGGGGGGGAAGGGAAGGGTCGGAAAAGCCGAGCGGGAAGGGGGGGTTGCCGCGGGTTCGATCCTGCCCGAGCCGCCCCCCTCCCTCCGGGGGCCCAAGACCGGCTCCCAGAGCCCCCCCGCCCGCCTCTACCGCGCCCCGCGCTCCGCACCCACCTGGCTCCGGGCTGCCGGTCACGGGCTCCGCGTGTGACCGAGCCGGCCGGGCCCTGGCCGCGGGGCTGCATCCTCGCCCGTGAGCTCAGATCCTGCCGGGCGGGGCGGGGAGGGGGCGGGGGCAGAGGCGGCGCCAGGGAAGGCGGGGGGGGGTTTGCGGGGGAGGGCTCCCGGGGCAGGGGGGGGAAAGAAGACGGGACCCCCCTCTCGGCGCCCCAACTATGCCCCGGCAGCTTCGGGGCTGGGGGGAAATGAGGGGGCGCCCCTGGCCGCGCCCCCTCCGAGGGAAGGTCCGGAAACGCGGGGGGGGGTCTTCTCGGACCGCAGCTGCAGCGCGGGGAGGGTCCCCCCGCTTTCCCCTGCGCAGCTTCTTCCCAACAGGTGGAAAGTTGGGGGACACCCCCCCAACTTCCCTGCTTGTGGCTGCTGGGAAGGCGATGGGCGAGTCGCAACCTCCCCCCTCCCCAATCGCAGCGATCCTAAACTATGATAAACTCTTCATTGATCGTAATTTGTTTTTAAAGTGTCCCAATGGCCTGAAGGTCTCTGGATCCTTTGCCCCCCCCAGCACCCGGGAAGCCCAACGGGGGTGGGGTGGGGTGGAGAAGAGCGTGAAATCGTATAAAAGGGGGAACAGGCTGGGACAGTCCTCACCTCTGCAGGTGAGAATCCCGACAATCAAGGCTACACCAGAGCAAGGGCTGGCATTTGCAGGTATTGTGTGTGTGTGTGTGTGGGTCTGCTTGTATGGCTGCCCTGGCACCCTGGGAAGGGTGCAAGGCTTAGAGATCCAGAAGACCCCCCCACACACACAGCAATGGGGCGTCCCTCTCATCAGGGAACCCCCTTTTCTCGGCTGGCGCATCCTTCGGGCAGCCCCACGGCTTGGCCG